GATCACTCTCTAGCCTTAATTAGGTCACGAAACCCCTCCTTCCAGCCGCCAATCTCGTTGCATCAAAGGGTAAATCTTCCACAAAAGAGGTACTTACATAAAGACAATAAATCAAGAAAGAAGAAAGCTTACATGTAATTTTTGCAAGTACTCCTTCGCTTTGATACGAGCAATGTCTTCAATTTCGTATTCACCTTCACTGGCTTCCGATATTCGGTCATCACCTCCTACTGAGACCTAAAAGTAAACAAGGCTGTTGGGAAGAGATCTGAAATCTACATACATCCTCTTCATCAGAGCTTATTTCAGTCCTTTCCATCATCCGCCGTCGTCGAGATAACCTAGCTTCTTTATCATCACCATCTTTGAGACCCTGCAAATAACTCCAGAAGTGAAAGAAATCAACGAATTCAGACTTGACTCACCCTCTTAGTAGCAATTTTCTTCCTCGGAGGACCCTTTGTCGACGATAGAAAAAATGCTGGCATGCTGATGTGTCAGAGGTTTTTGTACCTAACCAGTTCACAAATATAATGAGAGGTAATGAGTGTCAGGCGAAAACCATTGACAAAACAGTGGATCAACAAGATTTGAAGATTTATTTGAAGAGTTAAAACAAGATCAGTGTCCAACCGTGTGTATGATGTCAAGCCAAGGATAGCGATTATCAACTCGACAACGACTTCGAGGGTGATTTGTTCTAAACAAGCATTACCTATCGATTATAAATTCACAGGAAACCACAAAGTATGACAGATAGCGACAGGACTTCAGCCGTCGGGCACCTCAACTCACAAAGCCCAAACAGTACACTGTAAATGGACATCGCTTGTAATGAAATTAGATTATTTAAAGTAGGGAACTTGATTTCAAAAGGGGACTTGAAAAAAGAATATCGAAATGGGATTGTTACTAGCCCCCTCGTATCTGTGGAAGCCCTCTATCAGCTCCTCGATAGATAAATAACAGCTGCTACAAAACCTTAGAAAACAAAGCAAAACATCATGCACATGATAGTAAAGCTAATGTAAATAAAGCATTAATCAAAGTATGGGACCAACTTGATCTAGTAACTGACCTTCAGCAGATCTACAACCGTTTCTGATAACAAATGCGCTTTCAGCAGAAGGTTTCTCATGATCTTGAAACTTCTACCATTTGCTTCAATCCATTGTTCGATTACTGCTGTGCAGCATTCTTCATTCTAAAGATCATGGTGGGTGAAAAACATCACTGAGAAGATATACAATTTTTACAAATATTGCCACGCTCAAGATCTCACCGTTTTTCCTTTAATATCATCAATTTTCTTCACCTCCATGGCTTCAGCCAATGACTTCCATTTGGGCGCTAATATAGATGATAATTTGGATATGGTTGCATCACTCAATTCATAATCCGGACTAGGAGAAGCACTTCTAGAACAGGAACACATTGGAAGTAATAATGAAAAAAAGTAGATATAACCCATACCCTTCAGCACCGTTCGTCCGATTCCTCATGAGGGACTCTTCAACTGCCTTTTTTGCAAGTCTTTCTTCACGTTCTTGCAGCTCGTCACGAAACTCCTGGATGCTTGGCAATGAAAACTGGACCAAAAGCTGGTTTCCGCACCTCCATTCCTTTTCCTGTTTTCAGTATCACATTGTCCAAAAACGTTGGGATACTAAGTGTCTGCTGAGATTGAGCAGATATGTATTGGGAACTCTCTGCCATCAAAAGTCGACATGCTCGAAATTGAAAAGCTGGATCTCGAGTTGATCTGAACAAAAATTTTTGCGACTGTGTTGGATAAGACAGCGTAACCTACTTATATTGATCTTCAACTTGCTGCTCAGGATCAAGCTCGTCAATAGGATCACGAAGAAAGTCCGCCAGCGAAGGTGCGAACTTCCTAGATCATGTGTAATTGAAACATTAATCGCAAATTTTGCATACCTTCTTTTATTCTTGCATGCTTCTAAAAGATTAGGCTCAATGCTCCATAACTTGTTCAGTTCTGCGCTGCCCAAATCGATGACGTCTGGGTTGAACGATGTCCGCGGTCGCCTAAAGTTGAAATTATTGGCAGACCCTTCCAACGACATAAAAACTACTTCGAAAAACAAAACAATCTTCCAGAAGTCTTCGAATAAAAATTCAAAAAGGTTCAAGAAAAAGGACATTTAGCGTACGTGATGAGTAAGGATGTGCGCAAAAATAGCTGAGCTTATGAAATGAGCCCCATAGCGTCGTAAGAGAGCCAACAATGGTATGACACATAAGCGCAGACTTCTCCTATATCGTCGACTCTTGGACCGCACGGACTGGTCGTAGATTGCGGAGCACGAGCGGCGCGTGTGTAGAAATTGCTTGAGCGCGTTTTGCACAATATCAATTTGTAACGCGTTTGGCCGCGCCGCGCATGCTCCGCAAATTACGTCTATGTGTGCGTTCAACGATTCGACGATACCTGTGAATCAACGCCACCGAGCCGGTCACACTAAACTCTATTTTGAACAGAACATGTGACATCACACTGAACCAACTAGAAATGTTTAAAAAAGAAAGAATGTGTAGCGTCACTAAATATGAAGAGAAAAGAGTACAGAAGAAAGAATAATACTGCTAGAACCATCAAAGGACTCACTTTTTGTAAGGCTGCATGGGATGTTTGTCGGCAAGATCTGTCATTGCCGGACATGATTCGCTTTTCCACCTAGCCCATTCCAATTCACGTTGAAGAATATGCTGTAGAAAGAAAGACATGATACGAGGCACATCGAGAAGCAAAAGTGATCGCGCTAGGTACAAAAGTTTTCCTCGCCTCACCTTTACGCTTTCTGCAAAGTGAGCTCCTCTGGGATGTGTCTCACGTAGTAGCCGGTAACACTTTTCCTCACTTTCTTTAACAAACTTAACTTGTTCTTCAGTAAGAGTATTGTTTTTCCTAAACATTTCTGAATTCGGAATCAAACGAGATACTTGGTGATGTGAGGAAAGTATAAAAAAAA